AGGATAACCTAGTTTTGAGACCTGACCACCTTTCAACTGTGACTTTGCAGCCAAGCCTGCTTCTTTTAGTACTTTCCCCCCTACTCTTGAAACCAGAAACGTTTATTTTTAGGAGGAATATCCAATTAAGGACCCCTTCCTATTCCCCCTTTCAAAAAAAAAAGAAGAGAAAACTGCTAATACAATAGTATTGCCAGAAGACAGTTAATCACTTTCTTCAAGGTTTACAAGTCGATTTACCCTACATCTCTCTATCTTTGACTTTAATTGTGTGTTTGTTGTCATTGGGACCTAACTATATCTCAGATTTGCATTGCATTGGTAGATCTTTTCCTTTCCCTATTGATCATGACTCGTGGAGTAATTTAACTCAATTCCAATTTTCCTTTGCAGGCGGGGTGCACAAACTCACATCCACGGAAGTGAGTTATGTGTGTTCAAGTGGTGCATCTTATGAATCTTGTTAAGCTTTGCCGCCTTATAGCCTCACTGATGGAATATTTAATCACAGAAATGAGTTGGCAGATATGATATACAGTATGAGTGAGCTTCACAGCCATCCTACCAGCAATTGAGAAATGGATGAATTTGCCATTTGTCAGTACCACGTCGACAACTGTGTATAACCTTCTGTTATTTATTTTTATTTTGTTTTACTTATGTATGAAGATTAAAGGTGCTTGCTTTCGATCAACAGTTTTGTTGGCCAGGTATCATGATTCTCTGTAAAAGGCACCACTGTTTTTAATCTTTTTATTAGATAGCAATGGAACAGCTCACAATGATGGGGGAACCCCTTGTGAGGCCTCCTCATTGAGATTATTAGAAACACTATTTCTAATTATATTAAGTAACTTGAAGCATTCTACTGGGAACAGATATTTGCACGTAGTGTACTTTGATTTAATGCCTTCAATTTTTTTAGAAGTCTAAAATGGAATGGTCTTAGGTGTTGGCTAAAGTCTTTGAGACCTACCTGGACATTTTTTAAATTGACTTATCAATCATCCATCTTAAAAATAAGCCCCAAGGAGCCTGAAGATGATTAGATATAGGCAAACTAATCAATGCCTTGCAGCTTTGTAGGGAAACATCCCCCTGACTTTGGAGGAGGTTCATAGGTATACGCTGATTTATGCACACCTGCTTCTGAAGACAAGTACTGGATGGAGCATTCTTCCAGGTAGGACTTGGTAAGAATTCAGAAAAACCGCTTGAAATGAAAGACCTTTCATAACAGCTTTCTAAATGCCTCCCCTGGAATGTGTGCGTGAGGGAGAGTGCACGTCATAATTTATCAAAGCAAATTAATACTGTTCAGCCAGTAATTAAAGATCCTCATTAAGAGGTGCTTCTGCCCTCTCCACCCCCACCCCACGTTAGCAATAAAAATGCACTCAGGGCGTCAAGAGGTTATATACGAAAATCAATAACCTGCCATTTTATAATTAAAGAGAAAATAAATGTTAGGGAAAAGTCCACTAAATTAGGAAAATTACCTTTAGGAGAGATTGAAAATATTGATTTTAATTTACAAAATATGTGAACTTTTCATGCCCCGTTCTGAGAGACAATTGGAGGCTGGGTTGTTAATTCTGCATAAGCTTCAGAAAATCAATAATTATACTATGGGAATATGATGATATTTGTCATTAACACAAAATCTTATATAGAGAAATGCCTAATAAGTCTGGCTTTCTATCTCAGGCAGATGCAGGGCTGGCCTGCTAAATATCCACAGCAAATCAATGACAAGGTCTTCATTTCAGCTGTGAGGCACACTGGAAATTGCAAGACAAAACCAGACTATATGTTTACAGTTGGGGGAAATTCAAAAAACCCCCTAAATCCTTAACCATGGATATTCAAATGGATGCCATTAGTAAGTATACTTGCAAAGGGAAATGAATACATGCTATATTCATATTTGCATCTATGTATTCCATCCACATAGGGGCGTGTAACTTTTGATTTATGCTAGTTGTTTTCTTAGTGTTTATGGGTCTTCAAATATTTCAAAGGCATCGTTCTGCAGTGTTGGATTTGCAGCCACAGCTCCCCACATTTCTGAATATCAGGAACTCTACTGACCTCCATATACACATCACATAGGCAAAAGGAGAAACCTTTTGATTAAGGATACCCCAGGTATTAGCAACACTAACATGCATATACAGATTTCTCAAGTAACACTTACTTATTCATGCCCCATTTTTTTAGATTTAAGTTTATTGGAGCATCTTATAGAAATAATTATTTGGTTGTCCAGATTCCTTAAAAACGGCCCCTGACAGAACCATTTAATCATCTGTATATGGAGGAGATGGTGGCGGTGGGGGTTGGAATACTCCAAGGTTATTATCTTATTCCTCTTATTCCTTATCCCTATTCTTCTTTAACTGGACTGGTTTGGACACAGAGCAGTAGTAGTCTTATCTACCATCATGGCCAGAGTCAATAAGAAGTATGACCTCTCATATTCACAAAAAAATAAAGAAGCTGTGTAAGCTGGTTATAAAGAACCCAGGCTCTTGGTTTTAGAGTCTAGGTAGCTTCCTACCCGCTTGAAATCTTAGCTCTTCCTATCCGCTTGAAATCTGCACCATCAACACAGAGCCTGATATGGTGCTCAAACTCACAAACTGTAAGATCATGACCTGAGCTGAGATCAAGAGTCAGATGCTTAACCAACTAAGCCATCCAGGTGCCCTTATATTCTACGTACTTAGTTTTCTCAGTTGGAAAACTGCCGTGAGGATTTAACATTAATTAAGGTAAAGTGCTTGGAACAGTGCCTGACCACAGATAATATTAAAGCAAATATTAATCTTTATTGTAACTTGCTTGTACCCACTGGCTCCATGATGTAACTTCTGAGGCTGGGCTAAGGGCTAATCTGAACAGCTGTTCTAATGTTCTAACAGTCATGCAGACTAATTTATTCTTGTATACACAAGTCAGTTTGAATGTATTCTGCTGTTATAATATCCTCATCAATACCCACAGATATGCCCAGAGGGTTGAAATCTCTTCTGAAGAAGAGGTTTGGTATTATTTTGGTTGCCTGGGTCAGAGGACCAGCAACATGGACTTCCTCTCCCAATCCCAAGTCACACCTCAGAGGACTTCTTGCTTCTTGTTCCCAACTCATTATTCTGGGGAGAAACTGCATGTAGCCATGTGTACACACTTGTAGAGAATCTTCCACCTCGTTGGTCCAACTACCCCATTTCATTGCCTACACAGATGCACGCAAGCTGCTACCCGGCTTTCTCCATGCCCTTTTGAAGGATGTCATTTCTGTACAGCTTGGACAAGGGTGTGCTCCCTGCAATACCTCTGCCTGCAAACAGACGGTCTTGCCCCTGATCCCAGAAATTAACTTCCCTGAAATGAACACGATGAGAACAGAAAGGGCTAGTCCTCTCACGTATTAAGAAAAGACTCTCTTAGTTCAGCAGTATACTCAGAATTCAGTACGATCCATTCTCCGTTAGTTTTCCCCTATGCACAGAGGTGGAACATTCATTTATTTACTTTCATTTGCCCAGTGTTTATGTGGCGCTGGCTACACACCAAACACTCTTCACATATTAACCCATTTAATTCTAATAAACACCTGTAGGTTTGTTACTATTACCATCTTCCATTTACCAGAAGACACTAAGGCACAGAGAGGTTAAGTAACTTGCCTAGAGTCACACAGCTGGCCAGGATTTAACCTGGGCTGTCTGAGTACAGTGTTTATGTTCCTCGCCTTTCTAAATATCCTCTCAGGGGGTGGGTTCCACCACATAATCGTTGAAAAGCCTTAACCGCTAAGGTTTTCCTCCCCTATAAGAGTCAACACAGCTACTTCACAGGCATAGAGCCGTTGGACCTCACCTAGGTTGTGGTGAAAACCACACGTGAAGAATAAACATTGCCTACCTAACATCCAGAACTCACTTATCATGTTGGGCTTTCCCAGATTTACCATTTTTTTTCTTTGTCAAGTTGGTTACTCTGCTGGAGCAGCTATCCGAACATCCTATATTCCTCTATCATGCACTAGGGCTGATCTAGGATCAGAAAAATGACAGAAGGCATCCCAGAAGAAACGAAGCAAGGGGGAGGACTTACCATCAAGAGATCACTAAATGAGTGGATCTAGACCAGCAGGTCGTTTATTTGCCCTTATTAAAGAGCAAGGGCCCCATCTAAGAAAATTCTTTTCAATACCCGTGTGGCAACTCTACTAAAATTCGACAGGGTTAAATGCAGCCTTGATAATGACCAAGAGGATAACAGGCAGAAGTAACAGGCCAAACAGAGCCACATTCTCAGCCACTGCTGCTTCTGGGTTATTCTCTCCCAAAATGTGGTGACCAAGTTTTTGACACGGATTTCCTAATCAACTGGTAGTTGGCGGGTTAGCAGGGAAGGGGCGAGGGGAGAGACTGGCCTCGGAAAGGCAGAGCACTGAGGAATGGGATTGCTACCGAATCCAGTTAATGGAGATAGAAAGACCACTTTGTTTTTTTCTCATTTTCTAAATAATCCTTCTCTTGGCAATTTCAACTCACTGCCACATTATTGGAATGAGTTAGCCAACCCTCTGCTTTGCCAGGAAAAAAAAAATGTGACCCCACGTGGAAATGTATGGATAAAAAACCCATGAAGGCATACTGAATAAAAATGTCCATGACCAGCTGCACATTTGTTCAATATGCCCTTGAACAAAGTCTCGATGCTTTTTTGAGACAGCAAAATCCATGTAAAATGTCACAAGGAGCAGGGTCTCCGGGCATACCCTGCAGTGTGACGCATGTATGTGATCCCCCTTTATTTTTTAAAGGGTGTTAAACACTTTTGGTTTTGCTTTAGAAAAAAAAAATCCCTCAGAACTTCTGAGGAGAAGGGTTTTACGGTTCAGATTATTTTATGAAATCTATTCTCTACTGGCAGGCAAAACACAGAGAACAAACGAGGAAGAAGTCATGCACAGAGGAACTTTTTACCTGCATAGAATTCGGGGCTGTAGACCGCACCCACAACTGGATTCAATTTCCAGCCTTAAAACAAATACACAAAAACATGATTATCACATTGGATTCAACAACTCATATCATCGCAAGAGAACAAATCAAATGGGGTGGTGTACTTTTTTAAAAATTTTATATCCAGAGGATATATAGTCTGGGAATGCATAAAAATGATTTGGAACCTTACCTAGAAAGGTAGATTTATGCCTTTCTTTGATTGGCTGCCAATACAAGTTAATAGTATGGAAACTATTGACCGGCTACAGGTGAACTTTTTGAAAATCATGTGGTGATTAATTTTCTCCCACGCTAATATTCTCTAGAACCACTATAATAATTTCAAATTTTCTGTCTTCTTTCATGGATCACTGCTAGGTAATCTGTCATATGCCCCTTTGCATTCAATTCCCCCAAATTTGAAAGCTCACATAAACAGAATTCTTTGCGGAAACATATTCTGATAATTGTCATTCCTAATTATGACCCAGAGAATTCCGAAGTGCTTTTTACATCCCAAAGAAAATGACATTTATCCACTAGAGATTAAGTGTGGAATACATTTCGGCGTATTGAGGAACCATAAAAATTCTTAATCAATGCATGATATCTAAGGTAACTTTCAAACAACCTGTATATAAAAGGAACAGAATCCTGTAATTTTCCCAGTGTTCTGGATGGAGCATTTTCTGTCAAATGAATCCTGGCCCCTTAGGAACTTTTACTCAAGAAAAGAACATACAAGAATATTTGCAAATCGAGAAGCTATGCACATTACACACCCACTGGGCACCATTTAGGGAACAACCTCCAAAGAATGGTCACATTTTAGGGTTTGGTGATCATTTCCTCTCCTGCTGCTAAGTGTTTATGAAAACATCCATTAAATAGAATTCCTGAAAGACAAAGAAGGACAGGTGTGCTGCCTTTTGTGTAAAACTCTGTGTCCTTGGGCTGATGGTAAAACACCCAAGGTCCTTTAACAAATGCTCCTGAGAAAAGGCAATGGTGAAAGTTGGGATGTGAGAGAAGGTATTTCTGATATGGGAGCTCTTCCCAGATGGAGAAGCATGACATCCTATTATCTGACCTAAGTGATGCACCTTTAAGAAGAGCCAAGAGGTAGCCACAATCTACTGATCCCTTAAGGAACACACAGGCTCAGTATCTCAAAAGACAGGCCCCTGGATGGACCAAAGAACTTTCTAGAACTTTCCAAGAATTTTCTGTTTCTAAGAACTTTCATCCAACTTGTATAAGCTAGCAACTTTACAGCCCCCAGGATGGTCTTAGGATAGGATTTTTCAAAGTCTATGCTTGCATACCTGGGAGGCTTATTAATGGAAATGTCTGGCCCCATTTTTACCAGAAAGAGACATAAAATTCTGAGATGTGTTGCCCCAATGGTTTCTGAAACTTCACACTGACACCTTCCTCTCTTATATTAACCACATCTTGTCATATAGGCATTTCTATAGTGATATAAAAATAAAAATTATCTGGCACATTTCAGAAAATGTGTTTTATGAATGTGGAAAATGACTTCAGTGTGACCAACTTAAATTCCACTACTTCCTAAAAAAGAAAATACCCAATTTCTGGGGACATGAGAACTAATGTCCACATTTCAAGTCCTTGGAACCAAGCCAAAATAGAGCAAACTGGTAAAATTAAAACTACAGGATTATGTTAACGTATTTAATGTTTTCCTTCCCTAGTCCTTCACAGAAATCTACATTTGTGAAAGAAGTATATAAGGACCCATACTAAATGAATAATTAAGTTATGAATTTATTACTCTTTTTCTTCATCCCTTTGCTCCCCATCTTACACCCTGCTCATGTCCCTACCTTTTCCAGATAGGGGAGACAGGGTCTTTTTGTTATTAGTGAAGTAAAATTTTGTTTCTTGTATATGTACTTAGGAGGTCCCTTAAATAATTCCTTTTGCACACAGGCCTGTGACACACCATTCAGTGAATGTTGATCCATGATTAATTTTGATAGAACTCCCAAAGATTGTAGGTTATGCCAATGGCATTTCATTTTCTCAAAGAAACAAATTTCTCAGAGGTATCTAAGACTATCTTAAATCATGTTTCTCTCTCTGCCTTTATCTTCCTCATTTCCTTGAAGCCTTCTGTGTATCTATATATGTATCAATGTATCTATCCACCTACCTATCTATACATCCATTGATCCATCCATCCATCCATCCAACATCATTTATCTCTATCCTCCTTCTTTCTCCCTCATCTATCTGTCTGTCTGTCTGTCTGTCTGTCTGTCTATCTATCTATCTATCAATTGATCAGCTCTTGACAAAGTTGACCTGATGTTATTTAGGCCTCCAGTGTCTCTCCAGGGCAGGCTACTTAATGCCACTATCTATCTATTACCTACTAGTTTAACAAGTCTATTCGTAGAAAATTTCATTCAATATATAAACAACATTCTCTCTCATCAGGAGATACATGCCATCTCTTGTCTGCTGCAAGTATTCTTTGAGAGAGGTAACTGATAGGGTCTCCTTCACAAGAAACCAGCTTGGAATCTGTGAGCTGCAAAATGAAATGTCATGGGAACACCAGTGCAGGTTTTTCCAGCTCCCTGTCACTGGTCCTTCTTCCTAAATGATGCTGTTCTGCTTCCACTGTAGGGAAAACAAAGGCCTTTCTGATCCATACCAAAGGCATGGTAACTCCACTTCTCACCTCCCTGCTCCCCTGCAGCCGGCTCCTTACCAAGTCTCCTCATGTCAGCAAATGACACCTCTATCCACTTGGTTCCTTAAAACAAAATTCCTGGGGCACCTGGGTGGCTCAGTCGGTTAAGCGTCCAACTTCGGCTCAGGTCATGTTCTCACAGTTTGTGGGTTCGAGTCCCGTGTCAGCCTCTGTGCTGACAGCTAGTTCAGAGCCTGGGGCCTGTTTAGATTCTGTATCTCCCCCTCTCTCTGGCCCTCCCCTGCTTATGCTGTCTCTCTCTCTCTCTCTCTCAGAAATAAAAACATTAAAAAACCCCAAAATTCTTGATAATTTCTTGTCTCCTTACCCTCCTATCCCTCGTACAATCCACCAGAAGATCCTATTGGTTAGACTCTGAAAAGATGTGTCCATGCTCTCAACTTTCATCCCTCTCCAATGCCACCATCCCAGCCAGGACACATTTGTTTCTTGCCTGGATGACACCACAGCAACCACGTCCTAACATGCTCCATCTCCTCCCACCCCTTCTCTTCTTGTTCCTCTTTGCATGCATTCTATTCCTAGTGGCCAAACCCATTTTAACAAGTAGATCAGATATATCATTCTGCTACTCAAAATTCAGTATCTTCCTTCTGAACTTAAGAGAACACAAATTCTAACCTTGACCCACAAGCCCACCCAACCTAACCTCTGTCCGTTTATTTCATAGCACAGTTCCCTTCTCTCTACACCACAGGGACACTGTTGTGGTTTTAAATCTTTATAAAACCACCCAAGATCATTCTAGATCAATGTAGGTCATTCTACATTATATCCACTGCTCCCTGTGCTTGGAGAACTCTCCCCAGCTCCTGACAAAGTTGACCTGATGTTATGTGGGTCTCTGGGGTCTTCCCAGGGCAGACTACTCAATGCCACCTCCTCCCCCTTCAGCTACACCCCGATTCAATTTCCAGTTTTGTTTTCTGCACAGCTGTTAATACTACGTGGGTTCACCTTTTTGTTTTTCTTTGATTGTTCTTAATTGTTTTCATAACCACTCTCTTTCATTAAAATTAATGGTAAATGAAAAGGACTGCTGTCCAATGTGAATGCCTGGCACCTAAAATTGCACTTGGCAAACAGTTGGTTCTCCATAAATATTTACTTAAGTTTTGCTCTAAAGGAACAGAAGGAATAGGAAGCTTTTTCTAATAGACTCATTCCCTTTTAGCAAGGATTCTATCTCCTCCTAACCTTCAATGACCTGCTTCCTGATATACATCTAATAAAGAAGGACCCTGTTAGTGGTGACTGTCTTCAAGGCAGAGGAAATAAGAATACAGACCTTGAGAATCACCCCTGCTCAGACTTACAAAGCTCATGCAGGCTTATGTAAATGTATGCAAATTCTATGCAAATAGCCTCCCAGTCCCTGTGACTCCTTCTAGTACCTGGAAGAGACCCTTGGGATAACCCTGCTGGAGACTGGAGCCTGCACTGTCAGGAAGATGGACAGAATGATCCTGGTTTTAAGTTCTCAGGCAGTCTGTACATCCTCAGGCCTTGCAAATTCAGAGATTTTGATCAAGGACATTAAACCGAACAATGAGGCTTACAACAAAAGAGAACAGCTGATAAAGCCCACTGCTCCCAGCCTCACAGGGGCCCCCATGCAAGAAGGCAATGGAGCAGAGACCAGACACAGAAGCTGTGTAGACAGACCCCTCTGTGGCTGGGCCTCAAGGGGCTACATCTAAATCAGTAGCCCCCTCCTCAAATTTTGCTTCTGAAAGGTCATCTGCCAGCCTGTGGTAGAAAAACACTTCCCAAGCTCCCCCGGTGTTAACTACGGCTGTATTAGGTGTTAAAAGGCAAGTCTGAATGTGTACACAAAATATCTACCCATGTCTTCTTTAGGGCTTTGCAGGGCTGGATATCAAAGAAACACATTCAAGAAAGTACCCTTAAATACGCCTTAGGGGTTTCCAAAACTGTTCCAATGCTTTCTAAAGACATTAACTGAAGATGCCAGGGACCTGGTAGTTGAAATGGTGCATGAGACAACACCCAAAATGACAAGTTAGTTGCACACCGTCTTTGCTTCACTCACTATTGTTTTCTGCAACATATATTCATTGCCAACATTTAGATTTCACTAAGATACAGGATTTCTTGTTTTCTTGAAAGCATAGTAGAAATAACCAATTTTTGATTAAGAATCGCACATGGACCAATTTTCTGGAAGTGACCAGGGACCACTCCACTTAACCTGCAGTTAGCCACAGACACCGCTGCTCCATATTATATGTCTGGCTTGGAGGCCAAATGTTAACTATCTTTTATTGTTATCTTGTCCTGTTTTTTCTTCTAGTAGAAACATATTTTGCTTTTCCCAGTATGAAAATGAAAGTGCAAAAAGAATGTGAGTCTTTCAGACCATCCCTGCTCATCTATTTTACCTGTCTGCCTCTGTTGGCATCTGAATATTTGATCCTTAAGTTATTATGTCTATCAGCAAATTCAACTTACTATCTTCAGCCAAAAAAAAAAAAAAAA